GAAGCATTTTTCTGACAGCTTGGAAATGAATCATCATGCTAGGGATTTGGGCCAAGGAGAGCTCCCTGGTGGAGGGGTGGGACGGGATGGAGGGGTCCACAGAGGAGCTGGGCTTGTCTCAGGCCATGGAAGGGGAACCTGGGCTTTAAGTAGATGGAGGAAAGGGCGGGAATGGCTCTCGGGTGGGGAGAGCAGAGGCGTGTGGTCAAGGGCACTGGCTTGGTGGGCACAGGGCAGTGTCTGATGCCAGGTGGGGCTGGTGTGGAAGGGCATGCTTTGTGGGGGTGGCAGTGGGGTGAGAGAAGCCCACAGAGGTGTTCAGAGGCTGTGCTGGACCCCAGACTGGCTCTTTATAAGGCACCTGAGTCTATTCCTACCTTAAAGGTACCTAGAGGGGGCTGTCATGTGCTAATACGCAGCCTTGTGCCCCTGGTCCAAGGCCTTTCCTTTCTCTTGCCAACACGCCACCGCTCAGCTGTCGTCCCTGTACGGCTGAAAGGAGGAGCTCACAGCCAGCATCACCAGCGTCCCTGGGGCTTGGGAGGTGGTGGGTGAGGCCCATCCAGGTGCTCCCAGCAACCTCCGGAGGCTTGGGGGAGAACGGTGCACGCCAGCTCCCTTGGGGTGAGCCGGGGTGGGTCCATCTCTTGGGCTCTGCGAGGAGCCTCACTGCCTCATGGTGATGCCAATCACAGCTGTCGCCTGCTCCCACCTTTGCCATGAGACTGGCAGGAAAGGCCTCGGACTGGCCCCCACACTGCCCTGTGGATGTCGGGGTTGCCCTTCCAGATGGGTGTGTGGAGTAATCACAGAAGTATGGGCTCCCAGAGGGCTGGGGAGGAGGAGGGCATGAAGCCAGGAGGGCGACAGCCTTACGGAAGCTCCCTTCTTGTGGGTGGGGCCACCATGCCTGAAGCTGCTTCTTGTCCCAGCCCATTCCTGTCAGGATGGCAGAGATCCAGGAGTAGCTCCAGCTGTGCCTCAGCTTCCCTTTGTGCCTCAGGACTGGCTCTCTAAGCTCTTGGACATCGTCCAATGTGAGTCTAAGAGTCTGTGCTCTCCTGCTGGCAGAGAGGTCTGAAGACCAACGGGGAGTGGCAGTGCGGTGTGACAGTGTGCAGGAAGTCTCTTCCAGCATCCGCCAGCATCCCTACCGAGTGCCTCTCTCTTCAGGCCCCGCTGTGGTCAGCACCTGCTCTGAGCACAAGGACCGACCCTCTGTGGGCTTCAGGAGGGGGTGAGGCCTGAGTGCCACCAAAGCTGGAAAATGGAGGGCAGTGATGTGACATTGTGCAGGTCCTGAGCACCAGGCTGAGGGGTCTCCACTGTTTCCTGTGAGCAGTGGGGCCACCGAAGGTTTCTTCATCGGAGCAGCAAAGTGATCTGCTACGGAAGTGGAGGAGGGATGGGGGGTGGAGGCAGAGTTCCGTTGAAAGACATCCGGCTGTGCAGGGGTGAGGGACGCAGAGTTGAACAGTGGGATAGCAGAGCAGGAGGGAGGGAAGAAAAAGATGCAGGAGAAATTTTGTGTGGGAAAGACCCCTCCCAGTGGGACAGCATAGCCCGGCCCCTGCCGGCTGCATTTGCTCTGGGAGAGCCTTCCTAATTAAGGTGACTTTTGTCAGGTGGATGTGTAATTAAAAGAGCAGAACTTCTAACCTTTGAGGCCCTTAGCAGTCCCAGGTCAAAAACAATGGTCTGGTCCTCAGAGACAGCTAATGCCAAGGCAACCGGGAGAGCAGCTTTCTGGAAGGGCAGACTGCGCAGCGCAAGGTGCGGCCTTCAGCCGCGCCCCACGTCCACCGCCAACTGGCTGTGTACCCAGGGCAAGGACGCAACCTCTCTGATTCTGCATTTCCTTATCTGTGAAAAGAGCACAGTGACAGTCCCGGTTGTCACCCAGTGGAGTGATTAACTGAGCCGAGAGCACAGTGTGTGTTGAACAGGGAGCTGGCACACAGTGAGCACCTGTAAATGGCAGTTGGTATTAAAGACCACCTGGCTGAGACTTTTCTCAGAGGTTCTTCCTTCTGTCAGTTTCCCCAGGCGTCCTGCCTGATGTCAGGCCGGTCTCTATTCTTGGGATACCCCACAGCTTCCCTTGCCTCATCCCGTTAGCCAGCCCTGAATCTCCTGCGGTTCCCACACTGGCTTCTTGGGATGCAGGTGCTCATGGTTCTGTGGGACTCTCCCAGGCCAGGTGCCCATTCTGAGGCCACCACTCCATAAGCATGTTTGGACTCACTGCCCTGCCCACCTGTGGATTTCTCTCTTCCTTTCCCTGGCCTTTTGGTGATACAGAAGGCAAATTTTTTTCTGGAACCTGGAGTGGGGGCAGCCATGTGCTTCCTTCTGTAGTAGGAACCAGCAATTGTGTTGGTCCAACACTGCTAAGTATTAGACAATGGCTTTGCCAAAAGGAGTGACAAAAAGGGATTTATTAGCCCCAAAAAGGGACTATTAGCCCTCAATTAGCATATGGCTTTGAATGCAATGCCCTCGAGTGTCCTATGTGCCCTACCATATTGGCTGATCCTTCCCAGCATGAATGGGGTGGGTCGATGCCAAGGGTTCAGCTGAGAATGGCAGGAACTAGTCTTTGGTGCCTCTGGGATGGAAGATCTCAGAGTGGGAAGAGGTTTGGGAGCATCTGGGGTCCAAGGAGACCAAGTTAGTCACTGTGTGATGAAAAGTGTCCTTGTGGAAGTGAGCTGTGGCCTAGGACTTCTTACAATGTGCCTGGTGGAGAGAGGGGAGGGTGGATGGTTATAGGGTTTCTTCCCCTTGCCAAGCACAGAAATAGGCAGTGCACTGAGGTTTACTCAGAGACTGGAATTTCTGGCCCAGAACTGAGCTGCCCCCATGCCTTCAGAAGTCTAGGGAACTTTGTTTTTTTGGGGGGGAGGTCTGCTTCCTTGGTACAACCATTTGGATCTGTGTGTGTCCATGGATCTATAGTAACATGGATAGAGGCAGGTGCATCTGTCTGGGGCCAGATGTCTGTGTGTCAGTGACTGGAATATTTTGTCTTGGGAATGCAGAAAGGACTAGTGAGCTTGACATGACATGCGTGGTCAAACAGGAACATGCCAGGCAAGAACATGCCGTGGCAGCCAAGTCATAGGTTTCTAGTGTGGTAGGAGGAAACTATAGATGATATTCTTTTTTTTTAATTTTAATTGGTTCAGCATCCATTTTACCTTCCTTGGGAACAATTTCCTGGAGAAAACTGTCTCTTTCTAGTCTCAATCCATTAGGTTTGAGTGGGTTGACATCACTCCCTGGTCCAGAGCTTTGCACTCCCCCTTGGCCATGATGAATGGTTCTGGGATGGGGGGCAGGAGACCTAAGCCCATCTGATGAAGGTGAATCTGGGGATTTTTCTTGGTACTGTTGGGAACAAGGCACATTTTCTCTGCTAGCAGCTCTAGGTATTAGGCAAGCCTGGAAGTATTAGCAGCCGTGTGGGGGAGGCTGTCTGGAAATGAAGCAATTGCAAAGGCAAAAGGAGTTTAGAATGGGGAGAGACACATTCTTGCACATTGTATACCTAGATTCGGCCATGCTTGAAGGCCAGGAAAACTATCAGTTAAGTGAACCTATAAATACCTCATTCTCCCTTTTTAATTGTATTTATGTCCCTGGTACCCCCAACAATACTGGCCAGCTCACAGTCTTAGAGATGGACTAATCCAATTGCCTCTCCTTGGACACCTCTCTGGAGGGGGATGCCATTCCCTTTTGGATGTGGGAAGTCCTGGATTTAAAATAGTTCCCTTTCTGAGCATGGGTTGGTGTGTGTCTCTTCTGGGAAGGGATTAGTAAATGCTTCCAGTTCATCACCATCCTGTCTGTTAATTCTTTCTGTCACACTCAAACTTGATCACACTGTAAACAGCTCTGAGGGGTACCTGGGAATGCCTGATGTGTAGTCACATCCTGGGATTGGTTAGCAGGCTGCCGTGGAAAGGCAGGCAGCCATGGGGAACTAATCACTGTCCCATCCCCACGCTCAAGCTGTAAGCTCAGAAGCACCAAGCCACGGCACCGTCAGATTATCTATTTATTTTCTCATCTTTTTTTCCTGTTCCCAAATGAATTTTCTTTCTTTCAAGAAAATACCTGGCTCCATCCTGGATGACTTTTTCCTTGCCTACTTATTGCTACTTTATATGTAGAGACCCTGGCTCTGAGGCATGCCTGAAGGCTGTAAACCCTCCAGGGAGTTGGTGGAGTGGCTGCAAAGGGTCTGTGCGGAGCTATCTGAGTTTTTCCCCAACCTGGGAGGCACCAGTTTGTGACTAGAACTTACAGGGTACAAGAACGCAGGCTGCATTCACAGAGCAGGGCAGGACACAGCAGCCCCCTCAGTCCAGGCCCCACTGACTTCAGCCGAGGCAGACTGTGAGGCAAAGCTAGTTATGGGATCCCCGTAATGACCACGGACTTTACTGACTTACACTGCACTACGTAACTGGGAAGTTCAAGGAGTGGACCTGGCTTCAGGCCCCCCCAGACCTTGGGTTTAAACAATGTCACCAGGCTCCCCATCTCCCACTTTGTCTCTGCTTTCCTCGGTGTGTCCACATTCTTAGTGCAATCCCAAACTTGCATCTCCCTCATGGCCAGCGGTCCCAGACAGACAGGGACCCCGCCCTTTCACGCTCTTCCACACTAATCCTGGAGACTCAGATGGGCAGGCTTGGATCACATGCTCTCCCCAATCACGTGCTGGGGATTGAGCATAGAGTAGTCTGATTGGCCATCCCAGAGGAGGTAGGTGTGGCCCCTTGATTGACAGCCCAATCAGAACCAAGGCGGAGTAGGTGAGGTAATTTTCTAAGGTACGGGCGGCAAGGCCGACTCAACGTTAGCGAGACCTTCCACCGCTTGCGCAGTGGTGGGTTGCTTTCCACACGCCACCTCCACAGGACTGGCGTTGGCGGCCTCAGTCAGGGAATACGATGGCTGTGGTTGATTGGTAGGGTCCACCGTGGGTGCAGGACGTGGGCGTGTATTTACTGCCTGAGCTTCTAGGGAACGAGGGGCTAGAAAGTTCTTACAGACTTGGTTTGGAGGAAGTTCCTAGTGGCACGTGAGAAGAGCTGCTCCAGAAACGCCAGGGCGCGTCATTATCGTGCGCCCAGCCTCTCCGCCTCATCCCAGCTCCCAGCGTCCCGGGAGTATTCACCGCCCGTTTAGGGCTCCTGCTCGGGCTGGGGGAGGAAGGCCAGGACACTCCAGCCTGGGGACCCTTCTCTTGGCACAGCGCTGTGCGGAGGTCCTTCACTGACCCCTTCTGGGAGAGGGTGCTGTTCTGGGGCAGGCGCTTCCTTCCCGTCTTCCATTCTGGACTGAGAGAAAAAAAACCTGAGAGGAGAGGAGGGAAGAGAAGAGAGCCCTGAAGCAACTTGGATGTTTCCCTTTGAGCCGATTCTTCTCCCCACAGTGAACAGCATCGTGGTTGGTGAAGGGAAAAGGGCCGTGACCTGGACACCTGGATTTGAGATCCAGCTCTGACCTGATAAATGGGGGCCCTTGGCATCTCAGGGTTTGGTTTCCCCCTCCCTAAAACAGGGTTAGCCCTCTCCAGCCAAGACATTCGGGGACGATACTATAATTAAGAATGAAATCCAGTAGTATCCTTTGTTTCCTTCGCATGACCACTTCTTACACAGGACAGGGAAAGTGGTCCTTCTGTTCACACACACATGTGTAACCCCATTATATTTTGTTTTTTTTTTGTTTTTGTTTTTTTTTTTGCAACGGTGCCTTTCAAGAACAAAGAGAACTTGGCTTCAGGTAGTCTAGATACGTTAGAACTCCACTTACTTCCCTCTTGCAAGGTGATTATTTCACTGAATCTTCCTTCTTTTCCAGTGACCATGAACCATGAGTTCTAGTACCAACCTTGCTAACTTGGTAACTGTGGGCAAGTCACTTTGCCTCTCTGACCATAACACCATTTCTTCATAAAGTGGGGATGGGGATATTTACTTTATTGGCTGTTGGGATGTTCGAATATGATAAGGGTTTTGGAAACCATGAAGAGACAGAGATGAGCTATAACTGAACTCTCAAAACTGGCCTAAGAATGGGCCAGAAATTCCTTTAGGCCTGTTCATACTGTGTCTTACACTTAGCAGACATGCAGCAAATATTTGTTGAATGATTGGAATCCCAGGGGCTTGTTTGAGTTGTAATGAAACTGGACACAGCACTTGGGCTGTGCTACTTTATGTTCCAGCCTCAGGTCTCTGATAGGGCAGCTGAGGGGAGGGTTGGGGCCAGGACACCAGGGCTGTCTGATATCTGTGTGGCACTGGAGACTTTGACCTTAATGCCACTGTCCCTTAATGGGCCTGGTATGGGGACATCTGTGAGCCAAGGTGGGCTGATAGACTACTAGCAGCAGGAAGGGGTGGGTTGGGTGGGTTGTCTTTTTATGCTTGCATCTTAGGAAATGTAGCTGTTTTTCCTCTTTTCTCTTGGGAATAAATTACTGTGGCTTTATTGCTCTTATAGGAGTTTCTGGAAACACTAACTGGATGAATCCCAAAAACTGAATTCTTTTCCGAGTTTCTAACTCCCCCAGATTCCCGTTTGGACGGAAAATGGAGTCGCTTCCTTGCTTCCGACAGACACCCGCTTACCCTCCAAATGAGGTAACCTCAGCATGCTCTTCGAAGTCTTTTTTTTCCAGTTGACCCCAGGAAAAAGGCTGAGCCCCCGTCCCTCCCAGACCCACAGCCACCCCCAAGGGTGAAAGGGATATTTTGGAAGACATGTCCCCTCCTTGACCAAGATGCTCAACTCCATCAGGGCAGAGCTTAGCCGGTGGAGGCTGACTTGTCCCGTCTGCTTGCCCTGTGCTACATTCCTTGCCCCCGAGAAACACACATCGATGCCCACCAAGTGCTCCAGTACTGAGGCAGACGCGTGCGGCGTAAGCAGCCTCCGGGATGCTATATTGTCAATTCAATTAAACAACCCCCTCCCTCACCCCCATCTTAGAAAAATGTTCTGTGCAGCCAAACATCTGTAGCCTTGGATATGTAATCTCCCTCTGTTTTGTTTTGCTCCAGACAAAATGATGGAAAAGCTGAAATTTATGCCTTTGGAATCTGAAGCATTAACTGTTGTAAATCAGCCTTCGGTGCCCAAAGGTAACAATTACTGCTCTCATTAATAGATTTCCCCAGCCTCGCTCATAAAACAACTCTGGAAATGTCTCCAGGGACAGGGTGGGGGAAGTGTGCCTGGGATCATTAACAGTCAAGTACCCTGGGCGAAGAGGGAGGCCACATCCCTCTCCCCAGGGCCTGCCCAGCGGACGTGAGAGGAGGGAGAGACAGCGCACACAGGGGCCCCCAGAAGGGCCGGGGGCTGCTTGCCTGAGATAGATAGGAGCAGACTCCAGGCCTGTGTGAAGTCTGCCAGGCAGGGGTTTAGAAGCCCTGGGTCTTAAAGAGGAGGGGGGGGGAAGGTCTACATCTCTGTTACCACGTGGTAACTTCCTTCTCGTGGGAACACCAAGGCTGGATGGGATCTGGGGGTCATGGGGTCTTGTCCTTTAGTACTTACATAGGGACACTGGGGACCCGGGGACCTACCCAGGGTCACCCAGCAAGTCAGTGGCTGAGCTGGGCTTCAAGAATGAAAACATAGAGGGCTGGCCAGGCTGTGTTGGATGTGTTTGTCATATGGCCTTGGACCCTTTTGTCTCTCTCTGGTTGGAACCTAAACTGGCTCCAAAGCCAGGCAATACTTTCTTCTATTCTGCAGGTGGCACAGGGGTGACAATTCTGAGGCCACTGTTGTGGCCGCTCAAAATGGTAGATTATGGGACAGTGCTGTGCTGGGAGGTAGAGGCTGCTCCCAGGCTAGGCATCTGTACCCGGGTATGGGGTAAACACTGGGCCGTGGGGCCAAAAGGGTGGAAAGTTATTTCTGCTACTTGATAATCCCCTGCCCTAGTTTTTTATTTTATTTTATTTTTGGTAGATTCTTATATCTCTTCTTTTGAGATACTGGTTTGTGGGGAGAATCCATGTGGGATTTGGATACAGATCGGCCCTACTTTAGAATCTCAACTTCATACTCAGCCATGAGCAGCACTGTGTGAGGCTTTGTGTTAAGTAACAGAACTTCTCTGCTCCGTGTCTGTGTTGGCATCACAGTTCTATGTGAGACATTGGTGTGTGCCTCGCTGCTTGCTCTGTGCGTGCTCAGCTGAGTTCTTGGTATGTTGTGGGTGCTCAAAATGTATGTTTTGAGCTAGTGGAAAAGGTATCTGTTGTGACAGCAACACTGGGGGGCTAGCCCACCCTCCGGGGTTAGCCTAAGTCTCCCCTGCAGTGCACTCAGATGTAAGTAACCAGAGGCTTCCCAAGCTCTAGGAAGGTGCTCTGGCCCTCAGGCAAAGCTTGGCTCTGAGGCTGTCACACTGCTCAGGACACACAGCCCAGTGACAAGCAGACGCCTTCTCAGGCTCCCGCCTCCTTGCTCTGACCATGGTTCTTGGCTTGTAGCAGCTCCACCAGGCTGGCCAGCAGGAAGTTACCCCTTATTTTTGTTTTGTTTTTTTTTTAGTTGTGGTAAAATATACCTACCATAAAACCACGTTAACCATCTTTAAGTTTACAATTTAGTGGCATTAGGTAATCCATGTTCTTGTGCAACCATGACTACCGTCCATCTCCAGGTGGACTTTTTGGGTTTCTTCCAGCTTCTGGCTACTGTGGATAACGCTGCTGTGAACATTGGTGTGCAAGTGTCTGTTTGAGTCTCTGATTTCAATATATCTATATGCACATTTTTTGGATGGGGGGAGGGTATATACCTAGATGTGGAATTGCTAGATCTATGGTAGTTCTGTGTTTGATTTTTTGAGGATCCGTCATAGTACCAGTTATTTTAACTTTCCAGTAGAAGGTCATTGCACAGGGCTGGATGAGACCACCCAAAGCCATGTGGGGCCTCTCCTAAGTTTGGGCTGGCATCTGTGGCTGGACAGGGAGGCCCCTAAAGCTGGCATGGGGATCCCTTGTGGTTTAGCAACCATCATATCCCTCAACCCCAGTTTTACCCTCAGCCCTCGGAAAGGAAATATTAGCTGTGCCCACCATGGATGGAAAGAGATTGTTTTTTTCTTATAATTAACACCAACAACAAAATTACCCACTCCATGCACATATATGCAAACTCTACGTTTGGTTCAGAAAGACAACTTAAGAATATTCTACAATATTGTGATTAAACAGATGAGCTTTGGTGCCAGTTAAAATTTTGTCACTTAGTAGTTGGGGATTTTGGGCAAATCATTGAACCTGTGAGCCTCAGTTTTCACATCTATAAAATGGGGATCACAGATGGTTGTGACAAGCCAGAGAGACATGATATTGTATGTGAAGAGCTGTGTGTAATCTTGGGCACACAGAGAGCTCTCAGGCCACCGGGCTGGGATTTCATGCTTAGAGGCCACATCATAAATGAAGGTGGTAAAAGACGGCTGATTGGCAATTTGGCCCTCGCCCAGCTCGCCTGCTCTGGATTTGCAGGGCCATGGGTGGCAGGTGCCCAGGTTCTGTCCTGGCCCTCCAGGTCTCAGGATGTGCCCGTGGGGAGATCTTGCAATGGAAAACGGCCCACGGTTTTATTATCTCTGGTGCTTCACGGGTCATATGATATGGCTAATCCTTAATTACATCTAATGTTAAAGGTTAGTCCACCTCTGGGATGTTTCCAAGCTTGAAGGTGCCTACAGAAAATTGGTTCATTCATAAAACAAAGTGTTGGGTTACAGCCCCAGATGGCTTCCCCCAGCCCTGGCAGAGATGTGGCCTGAGGGGGCTGCTGAGAAGCATCTCCAAGCTCACCTCATCACTCAGCCGAAAGACAGCAGTGTGCGCAGAGAAGGAGAGAGTTAACGGGGCTTCAGAAACACTGGATGGGCCCTCAGAAGGATGGAGGTCAGCGTGAAGCAAGGGAGGCCAGGGACATTTCATGGTCATGGCTCTACTTTGATTTTCGCCCTCTCAACACCACTGTGCTTCATGTGGCCAATGGAGATGCCTATGAGTTTCTGAGAGGTGCTGGGGCCAGTGGCTCCATCCTGGGCAATGCCCCAGTGGGTCCAGACATTGTCACAGCCAAGCCCCTGAACTCCAGGGCAGCTCAGCTTTGGCAAAGCTTGCTGTTCACCCTGCCTGTTCTGCTTGCTCTAAGGATGGGTTCTTGTGAGTCCCTAATTTATAAAGTCATTCAACACATATTTACTGGGTACTCAGTATGTCCCAGGTACTATTCTAGGATCTAGGGATACGTTACAGTGACCCAGACAGGCAAAACAAGAAACAAGAATGCGTGTCCCTTCAGAGCTTGCATTCTAGTGGTAGGAGGTACAGAGAAGAAATGAGCAAAATAAATTAGTAAAATGATAGGATATCTAGAAGGTGGTAGGTAGTATGGAGAGAAAGAAGACAGGGCAGTGAGAGAGGAAATGCTGTTTTGGGTGTGGCTGGCCATTTTTGCTAGGGTACATAGAGTTTGACTGGAATACAGCCACACCATCTATTTATGGCTTTGTTGGGTGATCTTGGCAAAAGGCTTTATTGGCCTTAGTCTCAGTTTCCGTGTCTGTTAAGTGGGGATAAGTATTTATGAAACTAAAATGAGCTGTCATATGGCTTATAGGAAGTACACCTTAAATGGAAGTTGCTGTTTTATAATCATCAACCTTACTCCCTACCATCTCCTATGTGCCAGGGCATCTGCAATTTCTCCAGGATCTGAGGGGAAATGCAACATCTGTCTCTGTCTCTGTGTGCCGCTGCCGTGCCACCCAGCCCCCAGCACATACTCCAGATGACAGTGCCTGGAAGGGAGTGGGTATTAAAAGATCTCCCTTTCCAACAGCTTGGCACCCAGCCTAAACCCACTGCTACCTGAAAGGGTGCCAACCTGTCCAGCACATTTGAATTTGCAAATTATCTCTTGTTTACTATCAGAGGATCCACAAAGCTGAAGCTTGTCACGGGTTTTCATTATGCTGCAGAAAGTACTGCTGGGGAAGGTCTGTCTTTGCAAAGCCCAATTAGTGTATTTATTTATTAGGCTGTTTCAGCCACAGTTAAGAGTAATAAGGGGATCATTAAAGGATTTTGCCTACTGGACCTGGTTTGAGCGTTTGCCGATTTTGGGGGTGGGAGCCTCAAATGGCAGGAGTTTGGGGAGTGAGGTACAGACCTGGGATTGGAAAACGTTGACTTTGTTAGAGGACTTTGTCACGCTGCTTGGCTCTGATGATAAGCCACTTGAGTTACGTTGCATTTAAAAAGAAAAAAGAGGTGAGAGTCCAGTGGTTGATACACAGTCAGCTAGGACCCTACGCGTAGATGCCCACATGTATTTATATTTGCAATGCCTGGGCCTTATGTGTGGCGATACAGAAAACCAGAAAGTTGTGGAAGTGAAAATAACATATGTCTGTCTCAAGTGCCAGAGGAAACTGTAGCACTGGTGAGAAGGAGAAGGGCACAGATTTCAAGAGGGAGAAAGAAATATGCTCCTTGTTCAACTGTGATGTTTATACGCGGGCCCCGGTTTCCCTCACACATAATGGGCAAGCGCAAAACTGACAGGAAAACAAATGCAAAACTGAGTTGATTGCTTCTTCCAGAGCAAGTTGGCTTAATCGAGTTCTGGACTGAGAAAGAAGTGCCAGCAGGTTGAACTTTGACCCTCCCACAGCCCCTCACTGCGGTTTTCTGTGTGGTCGCGTGTATGAGAAAGAAGCCATGAACAGGCTGAGACAGCAAAATGGACACCCACCGTGAGAAAGGACTCCCCTTGACCACAACACCACCTGAACTTAAGAAGGATTCAAATAAAAATCTCCAGACCAAGGACTTTCAGTTTTTTGAGAGCCAGAGAATTGTCTAGAATATTTTTGTACTCGGGGACTCCCTAAGTTCACATTTCTCTTCTGGGTAGCGTGCTATTTTTAAGGTTTGGTTACCACCCTCCAACTCTAAGTCCATGTGTCTACATGTATAAATAGATGCAACTAAACTAAAAAAGAAATAATAGGTTGAATTCACATTTTTTTAAAATCATCATGGAAGCAAGTAACTGGTTTGACTTCATTTTCCACATTTCACTTGGC